TGGGGGGGGCGCGCGGGGGGTCAAGAGAGTGGTGAATATGGCGTGGGGGGGTGTGGAGGGTCGGGGTTATTAGTGAAGCTCCTATAATTACTGACACTAGTTTATGCAGACTTTGTAAGACGACAGTTCACACACACACACACACACACACACACAAGGGCTGCACGAATGGGTCTCACCTTTGCACAGCAATAATATACAATTACTAAAAGAAAGCGTAGCGTGCGTTGACTAATATGACAAGTGTTTTTTCTAATAACCTGTCAAAGCAATTTAAAAAAAAACATCTATTATTTGTGGATCAAGATTTACTTATTTTCAAAGCAGGAAATCATTTAAAAAATGCAAATGATTTAACACTGCAGGGCCAACCGTGACCTCCTAATGTGCCTCAGGTCAGAGGTTTGTATTGTTGGGACTAAGGTTGTCAGAGACGAGACAGGTGGATGAAGAAATGTGATGAAATTAAGGAAGGAGGAGAAGGAAGAGTACGATGAAGGATGGATAAAAGATGAGAGGCAGAGAACAGACTGGACAAAGGACAGATTCAGCAGTAATGGGGGAAGGTAGCAAGGAAAGGAAGAAGAGAGGAGGAGGAAGGGAGGAAAGGAGGAAGGGAGGAGGGCTGCACGACGGGGGACAATCCAAGGTGGAACCATGATGATGCTAAATTTGGCAAAAGGAGAAGACTTTTGTGTGCACGTGTCGGGAGACTTGCTGATTCGGCCGTGGTTCCAGTTTCACGCCTGTGAGTTTGACACAGAGAGAGTGAGAGAGAGAGAGAGAGAGAGAGAGTCCCTAGCCAGAAACAAATGTTCCCTCCAGGCACTCGGATGTAAGGAAGGTGAAAGAGAAGGAGGGAGGTGAAGTGAGAAAGAAGGAGGCCGTGAGGAACGGGGACGAAACACTGGTCACCTACCTGTGTTTTCACTGAAGCCCCCATCAGCACTTTTTAATCATCACATTTGTATATTTTAACCCAGAGAATCCCAAGACGTACAAGCACATTTCAATATATATATATTTATACATATATTGAAGTGTGCTAGTACGGTTAATATATGTATATATATATATATATATATATATATATATATACAGTATATATATATATATATTATATATATATATATTATGGATAAGAGTAAGACAAGGATGAATCCCGCCCTCTTGTGATGACCTAAAGGATTAAGTGATGGAGGATGTTAGATGTTGTGTACAGTTTTGGGGGCACTATGGCCCAACAGGTTAAATTACATTATTTTCAACATATTTGATTTTTTTCAAATGCCAGGTTGTTTAAGAAGTGAATTCAAAAATGCTATGACTGGTAGTTCACCTAAAAAAACTCTATTCTTTTAATATACTTTAATATTCAGTTGACAGCAGACGAGGAAAAATAACCAAAACATCTGTAATTTATTTTAAAAAAGTTCCTCATAATAACAAATCTTTTATTTATTTTTTTGGCCAGAGGCTTCTCATACTGGAGCTCTGCGTCTCTTCCTAGTTTTTATTTCGTATTAATTAGAAAATTCTCAGGCTGTGGACATGTTTTCAAATGTTCCTTTTCCAATTCATTAGCTGATAAAGAAACTAGCAAATTAATTAACACCTCAAACTGCATGGCAACAATATCAAAGGGAAAAATTTAGGCTAATTTTATGTTTCTTGTAATGTTTGTCTGCCGATGCTTTGGTTTTTAAATGATCTCAGGTTGATTTTTAAACCTGGCTGCAGTGAAAAATAGAGAGGTGAATAAATCAACATGAAAAGACTGATTTAAAATGGTTTAAAATGTGTGATTAAAGGGCTAAAAAAAGTCCCTGACCCTGAGTTGAACCTCACACTGTGATCCCTCACAATACCCTACTTATTAGAGAAAAAACCCCAAATAGTCCGAAATGTTTTGCATGTGTTGTTTATTTTCTGTGGAGCCTCTTTTACATACACACCTGTGAAAAGCTACCTTACCCTCGTTATGCAAAGCATGCGACGCAGCTGCTATTCACGTGTGTGTGTTTTATGTTCCTGCTAATGGACATGTAAATGCTGCCACTGCTGGCGACAGTTCAACTGTAGCAGCGACGAAGATGAAGAAGAAGATGAAGAAGAAGATGAAGAAGAAGAAGCGGGGGAGAGAATGTGACTTGTGTGAATCGCTCTGACAAGGACACCCGTGCCTGGAGCGGCGTCCTCTTTCGCCTCATCGAACACAAACACACACACACACAGTGAAAACCATGCCTCAGCAGAATCCTTAAGTGACTGTCGCGCTCTGAACAGCTGACTTGGTAGAGGGCGTATGAGTGTGGGCCCTGCTGTAGCCTGCTTCATCGTAGTTTGATTAAAAATGTATTCCAGCCAATTACTCCTATCCTTCCTCCCAGTCCGTCTTACCTCAAAGTCGTTGGCCTTGTTGTAGTGCATGTTGAGCGCCCTGAAGAGCTCTGCGTCACGTCCCACCGTCAGCTCCTCCGCCCCCGTCACGCCTTCGTTGATGGCCTGTCGGGCGAACTTCTCCATCTGGATGTAGTAGAACTCCCTAAAGTTGCTGAACCACTTGATCAGCTGGGAGGTGATGCAGCGGTTGAACTGGAACGGAACAAAATGAATTACAAGTCAGTGGATCAGTTCCCAAAGTCTAGGATGGTGTTTATACTGGGCGTCTGTGTGTAACAATTTGTTCAGTCTCAGTTAGTGTAAGTTCACAAAGTACAGATCTGTCTACAGAGTTTGATGACCCATGAAGAAGAGACAGTGGTCAGACAATGAACAGCAGGTGAAGGCCACGTGGGCTACATTGGTCCCAGTAACGTGGGCTCGCTTTTTAAAGACAAACAGAAGGGGGGGCTGAAGAGGCTGGTCTGGAAAAAACTCAACCATATTACTTTTCCACCCTGAAATCCAGTCAAACTGGGTTAAAGTAGTTAAAAGATTTTTTTTTTTTTTTTTGAAAATGAGCGGCTTGTTTCTGCTCATGTGTTCCTGTTTATTCCAATAATTGTTTATTAACCTATCGTTCCCTCATATTCCTGTGCTCTTATACACAATCAACACTCAGGTCGTTATTTGCACACACTGTGGGAAAACATTTTGTTTCAGAAGCAGAGCATATGTTTTCAGAGGCTTCAACTTCAGGGCAGAGCGCCAGCATGTGTCGCAGCAGCCTCACTGGCCAGTCAGTAAAAAGAAATTCTCGATTTGTTCTACAGGCCACTTTCAAGACGCACAGTCATGACTAATCTCCACCAACTCCTCGAAGCTAGATTTTGAGTTATACTTTTATAAATCTTCTTTGACATTTTTCCATATTTATTATGAATTCTATTATTGGATTATTAAATTAAAATGAGTGTGACGCAAAAAACATCAACATGCTGTTATTTGGTTTCAGTTCCAGCAAAATACAGAAAAATGTTTTTCTTAGTTTATTAATGAATAATCATGCTAAATTATGATCACAACTAATCATGGTTGACCATGTTAAGTCATTGGACAGTGCTAATTAAAATAAACTGTTCTTGTTTTACTGAGAATTGTTTTAAATTATTAAAGTGGAAAAAAATGAGTAAAAAAAGTTTTTTTTTTAATTATTAAATTGGAAAAAAATGAGTAAAAAAGTTTATTTATATTTGATTTGATTTTTTGGGTCTATTTTTTGGGTCAATTATAATAGTTTCTGTCTGTAAAATATCAGCTCTGCCTTTTTTTTCACAAGGAATGCTCTGGCACACAGCAGTGAAAGTCTCTTTCTGTTCCTCGCTAAGTGTTTGTGTGTGTGTTCGCTGAAGAGGAAAAACGGCTTTGACACGGAGATTAAGCTCAGTATTGTTACGAGACGTTGTCTCACAGGGACGAGGGATGAGCCGCAGAGATGGAGAGAAAGTGTGAGTCAGTAGTAGGGAAACGGAATGAGGAGAGAGACGGACATGAGGAGAAGATAACAGACGTTCACAGGGGCATAATGGAGCATAATTGGGGAGAGGGTCGTGTGTGTGTGTGTGTGTGTGTGTGTGTGTCTGAGACAGAGGGAGTTGGTTTTACAAAGCATTCTGTCCAAAGGGGAAAGTGTGTGAATGTGCGGGATGAGGGGACGATGGGGGCGGGGGAGAGGTGGGGGAGAGGGGTGTGTGTTTTGACCCACAAAAGAGCTGCACGAAAGGAACGTGATCACTCAGCAATTGAACACACACACACGCACACGCACACACACACACACACACACACAAGACAATGTCATCTGTCCAAAAGAGCAACCTGACACGCAAACGACATATGTGCAACATGGTCGCAATTATGTTGCTGATAATTACTGAAATATAAATTATATAAGCTAGGATTTTATGATTATTATCATCTTTACTTTTCTTTTTTTCAACCATGTAATTTAAAAAAAAAGAAAATTTAAAATGTGTAATTCAGTAATGGACCCATCCTCGTTAACAAAGACCAAACCTTTGGTGGATGCTCCTGTTTTACCTGGTCTTAATACAAACCTGCAACCAGTTGACTGGAGACACCGAAAATATTTTAAATATATAATATATATATATATATATATATAATGTAATGGTCCCCCCCACAGTGTAGTTTCTACAGGTACTTTGTTGTATTTCTCATACAGCTGCTCTTTGATGGGTTGCTTTTATAAAAGTATGGACTTCAACAGGTAAAACTCTACAATCTGCACAATACACACACCAAACGCTCCCGCCACGAGCACACCCTCACACACGCTCAAACATCTAGTCCATCAACATCAGCACAAACCACAGAGACAAACACAGACAAAAGACGTGAAGAGAATAGAGAAATGCTGAGTTGCAGGTTTGCCATTTTAGGTTCCAACAAAAAGAGCAGAATGTGTCAGGTTGTCTGAACCCCTCTCTGGTTTCTCTCTCTCTCTCTCTGTGTGTGTGTGTGTGTGTGCATACGTATGGGGCACATACATACATATGCACACACACGCACTTTCTTGAAGACTTTTTGTGCAGTCTTCCAACCAGATCCACTGCAGCTTGGCAGGGTTTGGAGGGGACAGCATGAATGTGCACAATCAACACAAACCTTTCCTGTGGATCCTGTTGATGAACAGCTTCTGCTCTAACTGTGTAAACACGTCAAGCCTTCTCTGCTCTAATCAGGACATTTCTGTGTGAGAGATAAAGACTGGCGAATACTGTGAATACTGTCTACTGGGGGGGGGTTCTTCTATGGTAGCAGAGTTTTTTTTAATTTTACAGATTCCTCCTTTATTTGGGCTAAGACACGTCCTAACGTTTTTGGCACTTTTATGACAAAATGACCCATCAACAACAAGAAGTTGTGTGATTAATTATTCAAAATAATCCCAAAAAGGAAATTGTTTACTGAGTTAAACTAAATAAACCCTTTCTTTATTTCTTCCTATTAAATATTACATAGAACCTGGACAAAACCTGCACCCGAGAGAAACAAGGAAACTCAGAAATACAGTGGTTCAAACTAGAGATGCCTCAATCTCATAGTGAGGATAGATTCGTCCGATTTTAGGATCGAACAATGAAAAAAAAACGACAGCCCGTCCAGTTCAATTACCTAAGAAAAAAATGCTCAACGCGACTTTGTGTGGCATGGTGTGAAACAGAGACACTATCACCTCAGCAACAGCAGCCCGAGGCATGCTATTGGATTGATGTTGGTATCAGCACATACTCCAAGTTGCAGTATCGGTATCGAAAATGGAAAAGTGCTATCGAGCCATCTGTAGTACAAACCAGCAATCTTCTAAAAGCATGTACTACCATTTGGACAGAGAACATGTCCTGTCTTTGCTTTAAATGTCTGTCTCACGGCCCACTCCATGACTGCTGCAGATACGACAGCTTCCAGTATTCAGGGTTCTCACTTAAAGACAAATGTGTCGCTATGTTTTTGTGTGAGTGGACGTGGAAGACCATACGTAGCTGCAGGGAAATCCTTAGTGGGACTGACTGAGTGAGCAAGTGTCTAATTAGTCCCAACTCCTCCAGTCTTCACTCACGGCCTTAATTACTCTGCCTGACTCTCCCAAGACGAGACAGCAGCAGCGCCCCCCAGAGTCTCCTTCAAACATATATGACTGTCTGGTCAGAAGGCAAGAGCTTTCATTATGCAATTAGGATCTGTGTGTGTGTGGTGTGTGTGTGTGTGTGTGTGTGTGTGTGTGTGTGTTTGCTCATCTGTGCCTAAAACGTTTGTCGGCTCAGCCCACTTCCCACACAAGTGCGAGCAGAAACTGTGTGTGTGTGTGTGTTTAAAAGGCTCATCTTTAAGAACCAGTTTTCTAATAGACAGACTCCATTCAAGTCCAATTAAGGGGAGCCATTCAGGGCTTTAATTCTTTTACAGTAAATCTGCCTGATCCTCCAAACACATGCTACGTATTGTTTCCTGGGAAGAGAGAGAAAGAGAGAGAGTGAGAGAGAGAGAGATAGTGAATGAGAAAAAGAAAAAAACTGGAGGGAGTGATGACCTGGATTTTAGAAATATGGTAATTATGAGTGTAATGAATGCAATGGGACAATGAAATAGGACAGGCGCACACGACACTACAGCATCGCAAAGAAACACTCTCGCTCATCACGGTGCGGATTATCCCTGATTCACTCTTCATTAAGTGAAATACTATCTCCACAGCTCCTCCCACGGAAAAATAAGCAGGATTATCTGGAATTACCGCTCAATTAAAATTAAATGTATTCCTACTCATTTATTTGCATGCAAATTAATAACAGGAAATCAGTATTTTCTTCTTTGTGTTTTGACTGAAGGCCATGTAAACAGATGGGTCGCAGCAACTTTACAAACCTTCCGTTTAAGCTTGGGTTAGTGTTTAGGTAGTAGCACATGAATGTTAAAACTCTGGTTCTAGGACCGGTCATGGCACTTCAACAGGTTTCATGTGGTCATTTTTATCCTTTTGTTATTTAATTCTGTCCAAATTAAGATATTTCAAAAGTCATTTTGGACGATTTTAAGGACGAATTTTGAACGTGCTTCTTTAACCTGCCTGTGTGGGTGACTTGGCATTAAATACATTACAAATTACAATGTCAAATATCAACATCAAATATTTATCAAATTAATGAAAGTCAGTACACTACTGTTCCCACTTCATAAAAGTGGAATACCCCAAAGGGAACTCAAGTAGTTCTTTACTGTTCCCACTTCATAAAAGTGTAATACCCCAAAGGGAACTCAAGTAGTTCTATCAATCTTTTATCTGGAAAAATAAGCAGATATTTTAGAAGTCTAGATTGATATGAACCTGGCATTAGGAAACGTCCAGAGAGGCAGGCTGCTTTCTCCTGCCCAGGCACAGAAGCATTGTATGGTAGGACTGAACAACATGGCCTCTGAACTTAAAGTACTGCATGTAGTTTTTTTTTTTGGCTTAAACGTTATATTATATTCTTCAGCTTCTGGTCATGATTTGCTGATATGATTTGCAAAAATAAGTGAGTGCAAAATGAGCAGGCACGCAGGGATTAAGAGTTTAGGAGTTGCAGGAATGTGGCCAACATAGGCCAACTGTTCATATACTTCAGTTCCATACTTTCACTTTATACTTGTTGATTTGGAAACGTGCATCTAAACTAAGATGGGTCGAGCTTATTCAGACGACAACACTAAATATGATGTTTTTTACACTTTGAGTGAATTTACGATGAAGGTCCATTTTTATCACCTTTTGGACTCTCGGTGGACGACAAATAAGACTTAACTGCACTGGGAGCAGGTTGGCTTAGCAACCCCTGTGTTTGCCTAACAACCTAGTGTCCCAGAGACACCAGTTGCCATGGCACCCAATGAGGATGTGGCACTGCCATGAGGAAGTGATCGCCTCAGACGTGAGCCAAAGGGCAGCTGGTGTGTGCGTGTGTGTCCGCGTGTGTGCGTGCGAGTGAGCTGCTCATTTGAATCCAGTGTCCTGAATCCGTCTCTCGGCCGTATGCTCCTTTACTGAACATGTAGCTGAGTGTAAACACCAAACAATCAGCGCCTTTGTTTTTTAGCTGTTGTTCTGTTGTCGACCCCCCTCCATTTGTTTGCCCCACATTCTCTGTCATTTTTTCTCAAGACACCCCATCACCTAAACACACCCTTCCCACCAACTCTTTAACTCTTTCATATTTCTCTCTCTGTGTGTCTCTCTCTATGTCTCTCTCTCTTTCTTCGTCTTTTATCTGCCAACATGTAAAACTTTGTTTTGTTTCTCTTTGAAACTGGAACAGAGGAAACAGAGATTTAGAAATGAAAAGCAAATTAAGAGGATGTTATTGTCTCACTTTATTTTTAACCCTGGGCTGATTAAGGCCAGAATCTTTCATTGTGTCACACAGACGTGACCGTTTGAGGAACCCTTCTGTGGGAACTGGTCTGACTCCGTTGTGTATTTCCAAACGTTCCTTAAAGAAGGCCAGATAGAATAATGTCAAATCCTTTGACAGTGTGGGAGACCACAGAAGAGTGCCTTACCAATGAAGTAAATCATCAAACAAAAACCAACTAAGTTGAGACTTAAACAAACAAAGCATTTCAGTTTTTTGGCAGGTAAAGTGAAATGTTACAGTAACTTCTTGAGACATTTTGAAGAACCAAATTAGCTGAAGAGAGGCTTAAAAAAGAGAAAAATTTTAAAATCACAATCTCAACTTTTTAAATTTCAACTAAAGATACTGTATAAAGCATTTCTGTCATTTCATTGATTCAGACATTTTCCTAAATGGCTTAAGTGTGAAGGAAAACAACGTAAAGAAGAAAAGGAAAAGGGCACAGTCTTACCTTGACGTCAGAAAAGTACATTTTGAGCATGTTGGAGGAAGGGTAACGCGTGTAGAAGAACATCAGCTTGGCTTTTTTCAGGTGGTTGGGAGACAGACCCTCCTGAATCTGAAATGTTTTAGTGTCAAGGAACCAGAAGGGAAGTAAGAGCAGAAAAGTCAGTGCACAGAAATCCTCCTTTTAAAACAACTGACTGTATGTCACGTTTATGGTCAAAAAACCAAGTCGTGACAAACAACAAAGGGGTTTTTCAACCTTGGGGTCGCTGCCCCAAGTGGTGTTACCACAAATTCAAATGGGGTCACCTGAAATGTCTAGTAATAAAGACATAAAAAAAACGTAATAAAAAATGTACTGATAAAAATATAATAATAAATGTAATAATAATGTAATATAAAAATATTTAACTAATTATTATTATTTTTTAAATATGATTAAAAATCCCACACACAATCTTAAACAACTGAATTCTTTCACTTTCATAAATATAGACTGAGAATAAATAAAATGCAGCACATGAAAATATCTGAGCTGGCGCATCTTGGTGGACGGCTGCACTCACACGACTGCACGAGTCTCTGGGCTCACCCGAAATTTGTGATGTCAAAGTGTCCTATACAGTGTTCCTATACATGTTCCTGGGTTGTGGTCATATACAAGGCACAGGCCAGAACGGCCTGCAGTGATGTTATATATTTAATTAACCTCCTGAGGCAGCACATCACTACATTAAGGTCACATTTCTGCAGACAGAGGTTGATCCACAACCTTGTTTTCAACAAAGTTGTCGCAGCATGCATTAGATTTGCAGTTTGTCAATTTAAACAATCTTAGAAATGAAGACAAAAGCCCATGATCTGCCTCCCTCACTGTACAGACCTGAGCGACCAGCAGGAGCAGCTGCTGGTTTTAGATCACATCCTACATTTCACTGCTGCATCTCTGTAGCTTTGCTGCACAAATGTCAATCCCATTGTCTCAACAAGGAAAATAGTAATTGCAGAGGCAGGCTGTGGTTTCAGGGGCATCAATGTATGTGTGTGTGTGTGTGTGTGTCACAACAGCTGTGCCCCTCCACGCTGCCATTTCCCCACCACATTAACAGCCCTATAATCTATCAGGGAAGATGAGGCAATCAATGGCACCCCCTGCAAGGTCAATTAGCACACAGACAAACACACACACACGCACGTATACATACACACACATAGAAAAAACCCTCGGGGGCCCTGTATGACTGAAAACGGCGACAGGATAAAGAGGAAGAGCTGCATTAACAGTCGAGTAGAAGAGAAGTTACTGAAGTTGAAGTAGAAAAAAAAGATAAACACTGTTGTATCTAACGCTTAGCTTGGGATTTGTTTTCACTCTGAGGCGCTGCCTTCATCAAATCTGTTTTGCCACCACATTTTTTCCTAAAGGTTCAACCCTTTTTTTTCTTAGTCATATTTCAAATTGTTCCAATACAAATACCTTCCCGTGATCGTAAGCTCCCTGTCAGCTCAGCGCAAGTTAAAGAATCCTGACTTTCACTGCTGATGATTGTATATCAGACCAACTCTGTGTGTAAAGTCCAATGACTTTAACACACTGCACCACCTAACTGTTAGGTTACTGTACATACTACAGGAGTTAGGAGTAAATGTATGGCTTCTTGGAGCCTGCCCATCTGTTCAACAGTGACAGTGTACATTAGATGAACTAGTTACTAACCAATCCACCATAACAAGAAAGGTCTGTAGGGTTAGGTGGTACAAAAGAAAGTGATCTCCATTGAATCACTGAGCATCAGACACATTAGGTGGTCAACACCAACAACAACACCATGACCTAGTTAACATTCATATCAACCTGTCACACCGCGTCTCTGCTTAGGTCAGGTAACACCGCTGTCTTCAGTCTGTCGTGTTTTGTGGAAACACACTGCGCTGGTGTTCACAAACATAAATAAAGAGTAAAACGACATGAAAACTAGTAGCACTCAAAGAACCGACACTGGTTAAAAACTTTTTTTGAATACTGAAAAAAAATCATGCCCATTAGATTACTTCACGCATTTTCATTTATTCATCTGTTATCTGCCGGTGCGCGGACTCTAAACTGCAAACATTTACACACATTTTAACAACTGTAGCGGGTGCAGCTCAGTGAACAACTGACATTGGCGACTTTTTTTCTTTTTGTTCTGTGTTTTCATCTTCTTCAACATATCCTTGTGTTTGTGTTTGCACAGAGCTCCTCGTATCGGCTGTAACTTGACCTCACTGCCAGGTGTGTGTATATGTATTTGAGTGGTTGGAACTGGAAAGAGAAGAGAGGGAACGGGCGGAGGGTTGATTCATAAATAAAAGGGCGACATCTGCTCAGCTCCACAGCAAGGATTAAAGAGAACTGAGTGAGAGAGAGAAAGAGCGGCTGTGTACAAGAACATGTGTGTGTTGTCTGTGGTTGTTTACACACGTTTCGGAGGAACTATAACCAGTACGGAACATCCCAGCCTCACAAATACAATTTTCACCCTCATGCGCAGAATAGGTGTTTATACTTAGTGTACATGTGACCTAGAACTCCTAAACCAGAAATGTGCTGCTTTACAGACTATTTGACGTTGTATTTCTCCAACCAGGAGATCAGTGTAACTTGCTTGCTAACAGCGTAACAATATGCCAGCTTCCAATGGGATATCTGTCAAAGCTGTTTGCCTAAGTGAGTGAGTAGTGCTGTGAGTAGTGATGATGATAAGAATAATGTCCTTATTATCATTTTGTACTCAGTGCTGTCAGTTAAAATTCATGGTTTTGTTAGACCAACCAGCAGAGGACAATAAAGGATTCTGCAGCACACTCTCCGTGTGGTCTTCATTGTTGTTTGCTGGGACTAACTCCATGTAAAAGCAATCATTTACCAGCCAACAGGTTCTGTTCTCCTACGTATTTTGTGATGTATTATGTAATACGTAAGGTCCGACTTAAGGTGAAAATCAAATTATATTGCAATGTCGGAACAGATCTTTGACCTGTCCAGGACCTCCTGTATACAGGCTGAGAGGTCTATGCTGTTTAGGTTTTTCTAATTCTACTTTTACAAAAAAGCATGGTTCTAAACTCTGCATCAAAAAAAAGTCAACAGAAAAAAAATGACAGACTACCTTCACTGTCATCGTCAGTGACAAAGAGAGAACCTAAAGCTGCTCTTTCACCTATCTTCTATTGGATCGTTAAAAATCCACATTTCACAGTCTGAGCTTTATACAAAGAAGATGTTTACCTCCACACTGAATACATTTTCCAAATTTGGTCAAAAAGCCTAGGATCCCAAATGCTGTTCAGTCAGTACCAGTTAGCAGATTTTAGTTTTTCCAAGAATAAAGACATCCAGGTGTAAACAAATTAGACAAATTAGATTTTTTTCATGATTTTTTTTTCATTACAATTCATTTTCCAAAAGATTTATTCACAAAAAGGGGAAAAAATTTGTGTTTGACATTCTTCAAATAAACCAGTTTACCAAGAATGGAGGCAGAACCTGGTTGGCAATAATTAAGAACCAAAAGAATGGACTGCATGTGAAAAGGGAATGAGCTCATGTTGAATCATCACTGGTGTTACAAAAATACAGTATTTTGTTTTTTGTTGTCAGTCAGCTTGAAATAAAAGTAAGGTCGGAGGATGGTCAGTGTCTTTGAAATACTAATGCCAGGCTTTCAGATATTCTTTTAAATGAATACAAACACATTTAGGAATGAAACGGCTCAGCTGGAACAAGAGACATGTCAAATATTTTTTTAATTTATTAAAGCAACATCTAAATTGCCTTTGAAGACAACACAGGGATCAAATCCCGATCACAGTTGTAAGGAGTCCCCATTGTTGGGTTCAAAGTCTTATTTTTCTTTTGGCTTTGTTCTTCAAACATAGGTGCACGCCTGTGTGTGTGTCTCACTGTGTGTGTATGGGACTGGTCAAAGTGTGTGCCTGCCTAGTCGGCTGGGGGAGAGAAGTCCTCTCCATATGAAAGCAGAGAAAAAACGGTTACCTGCAGACACCTGCCCTCAGACACAGGCCAGTACAGGGAGTGTGTGTGTGTGTGTGTGTGTGTGTGTGTGTCTATATTTGTGTGCAGAACGATGTGCACGGCCAGTAGACCAGCCGCTGGAAGACTTGGTGAGAGAATGGTGAGCTACGGCAAAAACAAAACAAAAAAGGAAGTAGTGTATGTGCCACCATGTTGATTGTCACACTTCTCTGTATGTGGTTAAACCAGGAACAGTTAAACACACACACACACTAACACACACACCCTAACACAGACACAGAAGGCTACTGTCAGGAAGAAGGAAGCAGTGGGGCCGAGCATTCACCTATCCTCCACCTCCCTCTCTTCCTCCTCCCCTTTTTCCCCCTATGCTCTTTGAAATATGATTAGCTTTGAGCTCATATGTACAACCCACATGCACATTAACACACAGCGCATACACACATACACACACATACACACACGTGCACAGACAAAGTGAAATATGATTTGCTTTGAGTTTTATGTACAAAGTCTCTGTGATGAAAGAGACACAAACAGCACAAGTGTTTTAGGAGTGTCTCAGGTGTGTTTCTCTGTGTGTGTGTGTGTGTGTGTGTGTGTGTGTGTGTGTTGGCCTTTTCAGCACCTTTAAACACCACAACCTGCTGCAGCGACTTGAAAGAGCTGGAAAGAGAGCAGCTTTTAATCTTTCCTCTTGCAAGACCCAGTGTGCGCCCCTTTTTATCTTCCCTACTCAGCAAGGAAACAAGAAGGAAGCAATTAATACAGATTAATTGATGCTGAAGACTTCCAGAGTGGGCTGCCTGCTGCTGCTGCTGCTGCTGCTGCTGCTGCTGCTGCTCTGGTTACAGCCCAGAAGACATCTAGCTAATTGTTTATTATTGTATTATTACTGCAAATATGTTTTTTTATTTTCATGGCGTGGGCGAGAACTTTTTAAAATTTTTTTTTCTTATTGCTCCAGCAAAATGTTTGGTTGCATTTCAGGATTCAGGCAGAGCTTGGCCTAATTTATATATACTACATTGCTGAATTCTTATTTATATTTTTATTCTATTCCTAGCATTCCTGTGTATTTTTCTGGATAGCTTTTAGCTAAGACTGATTGATTTCTCAGTTGTTTGTAATGTTGGACTATTTTGTCCACGTATGTATATTTATGTAGCCTTTTGGACTCATTTGATAAACTTTTGAAACTTCTGAACTCAGGTTTAAACATCTTCATACAAACACTGTTAGAAGGATACAGAGCTGCCTGAGTACGGAGACATGTCTGCTATGTCCTGCAGGTCTCCACACTCTGACTTGATGAGGGACAGGGACAGACCCTCTGGTCCATGTTGGCCCGGTGAACTCTGTCTGTGATGATGGTGGTGGTGGTGGTGGTGGTGGTGACCCAGATGCCTCCCTCCCAGGGATGCCATTTTGGTTCTGAGGCTCATACTTTCCCGGGTCATGTCCAGGGAATCAGGGGAGGAGCGATGGAGGTCCTTTGGCCCAGGTGGGTATCCGGCTCCACCCCCGTGTGGCCCGAGTGGGCTTTGAAAGGGGTATCCCATGAGGGGGAGAGGAAACGGGTGGCGAAATGATGGTGGACTAAAGCCCAAAGAAGCAGTTAGGGGAGAAGGGTGGAGGGAGGGATGGTGGGGAGGAGGAGGGGGAGGTAGAGACGGGGTCATATTGTCTTCCCCAGCTCCTCCACCACTCTTGCGCACCACCAGTGGCAGAGCTTCAGTTTGGTCATTAGGTGTTGGAACACCACTCAGTCTGCCACTTAAACCACCGAAGGACTCCAATGGGCTGGGCACTATGACATCACCAAAGCAGTGCAGCCGGTGGTTGGAGGAGTGGTAGTTGGAGGTTGGACTACCATCCCCATTTAAAGTAAGGGCCAGGGCACCACTGCCAAAACGTGAGTCAGGAGTAAGAGATGGGAGGGGCCCAAAGGGTGGTGGACAGGAGGAGGAGGAGTTGGAGGAAGAGGAGGGTGCAGCTGGTGTGTTGCTGTGGCAACCGTGATGGTGACTAACCGCCGGTTTAGGTGAAGAGAAGCCTTTGACGACAGTGTCGACGACTTGTGACACGGCACAGTTCAGCTCCTGCTTCAGTGTCTCGGCCAACTGCTTTCCTCCTCTTCCTTCTCCTGCTCCTCTCCTCTTTATCACTCGTTCTCCATCCTTATCCTCTTCATCTCTGACGTCCACATCCTCCTCTATTTCTCCATCTATTAGGGCCTGTTCTCTGAGGAGAGCTCGAGCTCGGTCCAGAAACAGACCAGGGTCCAGCTCGGAGAGCTCGTCGTGGCCGTGCCGACCTCTCTCTCGGTGCCTTTCCTCTAGGCCGTCAGAGCGAATACTGTCCTCAGACAAGTTACCGTCTTCTCCCCCTCGTTCTGCCTCTCCGTTCTCAACATTCTCCTCCTCTTCTTCAGTTTCTGAGTCATAAATCTGGTAGAATTTCTCCTGGAGTTGACGCAGTTGTTTCTGAAATAAAAAAAAAGAATAATGTGGATGATATCTCCTGGAAATCTTCAGGAGGATTTCCAGGTATTATGACTCTTTACTACAGGTTTTTTGGTGAATCAAAACAACTACAATTCTCTGCCCAAAACAGTGTGTGTGTTCTAAGAATTTTTTTTTTTTACCTTACCTTAATTTAAGTTAAGTGGTGATTTGTACCACAATATTATAATCTCATCAGGTTGTCTCATGCACATGTTTGGTTTTGTGATTACGACCCCCAGAGAGCTTTGTCCACATTTCACTAATCTCATTGTCCTCTGTTACCAACCTGCATGTCCTCCAGCTGCAGTTTGAGCTGCCGTCGTTCTTCCTGTCTTTGCTCCTGTCTGGAACAAACCAGCTGAGTGAAGCTGTGCTGCTGCTGTGGCAGGCGCTGCTTCCTCTTATTCTCTCTGTAAACCTCACCCACACTGACCACGGTGGCTCTTGAGCCTGGAGAGCTCAGGAGTGACGGACAGTCACTGCGAACGTGGTTGAGGCTGCCGTTGTTGTGGCCGTTGGTGTCTCCCCGGTGGTCATTACTGCTGTTGCTGCTGCTCTCGGTGTCATGGCTACCTTCTTGGTTGTGATCACTGGCCATGGGCCTCACCAGCGGTGAATGACTCATGCCTCGAATGATGTTCTCAACACGGGCACGTTTGGCACGTAGGTGCTCGTCTGAGAGCCTGTCAAAATCAAAGGAGGACAAGGAGATCGGCTGGGAGGGAGCGTGGGAATTGACGCTTAGAGGAGGATGTGGACGCCCGAAGGAGGAGGAGGACGATGATGATGGAGGAGGAGGCCCAGGAGAGAGGCAGTCAGACGGGCTGTCCTGGTCACGGGAAGAGTTGCTGCAGGCATCCTCACCCTGAATCTCCGAGCCTCCACTGGACAGAGCTCCACTCCCCTATGATGGGCAACAGGACACGAAGAAGGGTGAATAAAATGTATATGGCCCCTACCTTTGTGGAAATGGGGTTTGTAAAATGTGAGATAATCAAGAGGTTGACTCTACAGTTTGTCTATGAGATGTTCTTACCTGAAAGCCTGAATCGCTGCCTCCATTCTTGACGATGTTGTTCTTCAGCAGCTGAGAGATGATGGTGACACCTGGGAAGGGCATGATGGCATCTTCATACGAGTTTGTCCTCTTCAGCAACTTCCTCAGGACATTGGACTTCTCTCCATCACTGGTGCTGCTGCTGCCTCCGTGGCCGTGACCAACCAAGCAGTCTCCGTCCTGGTCCAGGCCGTGTGATTGGTTCATGCCGTCGAACAGGGTCTCCCTGGCGCGGGCGAATATGGTGGTACCCACAGTCCTCTTTACCCCGATGTCAACACGCCGGCGTTTCGTCTGTCTGGTTAGGAGGGCTGTGCTGTCATGATCAGGCATCACGCAGGGTAACTAAATGGACATGTCCAGGGGTCCTCCCAGACACAGGCAGGGTAAGAGGAGTCAGCCTGGTCAAAAACAAGAGGTTTAGACTAGTATCGTTTTGTTTTAGCCTTATCAGTGCAGTTTTCTCATGGGAGGAGGAAAAGGAGGGAGCGCAAGAAGCTGAAGAAGCACCTCATGGTGCTGTGCCAAGTCTACAGCATGTGTGTCCTTCCTGTAAACACCACCATTATACTAAATTTTAAAAAATAATCACGCCTAACATATGTTCACACAGCGCCAAATATTTAGGAACACTTTTTAAAAAATTAAGAATGAAGTTACTACGTTTCTAATGTATAATTGAAGCTGTTGCTTCAAAAAAGAAAAGAAAAAGAAAACTACCAAAATGTTTTAAAACTGAAAGACTGGCTTTTATATGTGGTTTTAAAACTTTAATTTAAGAACCGCAGCTAACATTTTCCTGTTTGAAACCTTAAACATGAAGTGAACCTGTTCAGTTTTCATATATCTATGTTTAACTCTACATACATGAAACCGATCTGCAGAAAAACACATATTTGCTGAAATCATCACCATCGGTAGAAGTTGCAAAGACATGACATGATCCATACAAAATATTAAAATACATAAAGTGATTGGTTTCAGCAAGAGTATAAAGAACTAATCTACCAGATAAATGTTTCACACACATTGTTTTGTTTGTTTTTGTTGTTTTACAAAAAATACATTTTTGTTTCTCTAAAATTCTGTTTTTGCATTTTCTCCACGTCTCAATAACAGGCTCATAGTTTAATTATCAAAAAAACATTTAATGGACAAAAGGTACCTTTCCTGGTCTCATTTAAGTTTTTTTTAGTATTTACATTTTTATTTAATCGAATAAAAAAAAATTACCATCTATATTTATCTATATTCAGGTGTGAATGTATATAACCATATTTCGATATATATAGATATATGAGTGTCTATATATATAGAGAGAGAGAGAGACGATGAAAAATGAGACGAACCCTCCCTCATTCATGTCACACTAACTGCTTTTTCCGTGTCACCTGTTTGCATCTGCTTTTCCTGTCATTTCAAAGAGAGGGCAGTATGAAAATATTTAACAAATGAAATTGCTTCCTCGGAATAGTTGACACTCATGGTATAGAAGCAGTTTCATACAGTTCATTCCAGTGAATGCGTTACACAAAACATGTCACATTTGAATGAAAGTTGAGGAGCTGTTACTGCCTGAAAAAACTTTAAATGTACTTCCGGTGTTTCTGAGATGCAGTGACGTGAACTAGTGCTGTTAAATCAAGTAAATCACTCAGTGCCCAGCAGTGACCCAGATACACACTCTCACCCACTGACCACACACACACACACACTCAGTGACAGCGATTGCTGTCTGTTTATTGGTTTTTCCCCAGCATTACTCTGGTCAGAGGTCCTGGTGCACGCACACGGACACGGAGTGTGGGGGACAGTGTGGACTGTGCAGAAATCACCATTGAAATGCTACAGTAGAAGAAATGAAGGAGAAAACTTTTCTTTCTCTCTTTTTAAGATAACGAAAAAGACGCACTGATGTGAGATTTGATCAAATTAAAGCTGGAGGAGTTTGTGACGATGCTAAACGGCATTTTGAACCCGCTAATGAGCAAAGATGTATCCTATTACACATCGGTGTGTGATCGTAATTTACGTATTTTGAGCCCGGGCGGTTTGACACATTCATTCGTAAATACAGAATTCCCTGGACCTGAGCCTGTCTCTGTAAGAAATATTAATAGTCAAAACTTTACTTTGTGTACTTCATCTAGAAATAATTTTTACTCAAACTGAAAGTGAAGAGTTAATCTGAATTAGAAGAGGACAATAATAAAAGAGATCTGTTTTTTATCAGATGATACTAAATTATAAATTCAAATTTTCGGCCAATAATTTGTAAACATTTGACGGCAGAGTGTAGACTAAAGTTTGTCATTGGGTGAAAGGTCATATTAAAAAGAGTTTCTGTTTGATGACGGACTTGACCAAACGATGGAACTTTAGTTAAGAACGAAAAAAACAACACCTCTGACTGAAGCGCTACTACTGCGTGAGGTGGGACTCGTTTTCTCACATCAATTAAGAAGAAAAAGTCCAGAACAACCACGACGTAGACGGGACTCAAAGTCAACGCGCGGCAAACGGAACAGTCGTATTAGTCCCAGAGAAAAGTTCTCAGTCCAAACTGACAAATAACGTCTACCGAGAGGCACCGAGACACTGAGGTCTGGACTATCTGGAACTCTCTTTCTCTGTTTACATAGATTTACTTTCAGAAACGTCACACACACACACTGGCACTCCAAAGAAAAACAAATAAATGCTGTTTTGTACTTACTTTTCAGTCGTCTTTCCCGAGCGCGCGGAGTAATGTGATAGAATAGTCAAAACTCCAACGACAAAATGGAAACGGAGTCAGAGCCAGCGCGTAACGAGAGAGAGGGAGAGAGACACTGGGAGAGACCAGAGGATAATAGAGAGAGCGAAAGAGGGGGGGACTGCTCTTGTGCGCCGCTCTCTTCTCGGTTCGGGTAGTGTGTGTATGGTATAAAGCGCGCGCGCACACACACACTTCTGCGCTCTCTCTCGGCTTTGCCTCTTCTTCCTCTGACACACGGCAAGACTCTCAATAAGAAACCCAGGAGGAGACGCGCATGAAGGATACGTGAAGACGCAGCGTCACGGGCCGCGGAGGAGGGAGGAGGGGGAGGCAACAACTCCACCTGACCAATAAGGACGAGGAGCCGAAGACCGAGGAATTGATTTATAGAGGGGCAGCGAGCGCAGGAGCCGCAGGAGCAGTAGAAGCCGGAGTGCGCGTGGAGAGCAGGAGGACGCGGAGGGTAAACGGACTGTAGTAGCGTTTACTCATTAACTGACGGGGGGAGTGGAGTGTGAACATTAGTCTTTGAATTATTATCTGTAAACTTTTAATTTTATTTCCTGTGCTATTTGAATGACTGTAACGTCAGAGGCTGCCTTTGGGACACTGCTGCATTAGTTTTATGCACCAACCACCAAATTAAACACCTGTTCTGACGACATTTATTTAAAAAAAATATTTTTAAAATAAATCTACGAGAGTCGTCGTGACGTTTTCTTTGTGTGCACACATTTCGTGCAAATGCACTGCATGGGTACCAATACGATTTCAATAGATTCTGCTTTTTATCTGTCTTCAACTGTTGACGTGCGCAAACTTCGAAACATACGGCTGCCCCCTTTATACGCAACTTATGGTAAGAGTTAACGTCGCACAGGTAGAACAGCGTGAAGTCTCCTCTCCTCTCCTCTCCATCTATACTTTATTTTTAAAGTCCGCGTTTTGACAGCCACACTGACAGCGACCAAGATTCTTCTGCTCCTCTTTCGTTGGTGTGAAATCTTCCCTCTCAGGAGGCCTGTAATAAAACATGCCGCAGGAAGAGTTTTTAAATAATACTTTTGTAATTACAAAAAAACTCCGATCGTCACATTCAAAAGCCAACCGTTAAGATTTTTCCTACATCTAGACATTTATTAGGTGCCGTCGTTTACTTATTGCATTTCTCATCTCCACAGTCAGTCAGTCAGTCAGCCCCGACCCAAACGTGCGAACGAAATGCACGCGTTCGGAGGAACCACATCATAAAGAGACAAACTACAAATAGAAAGTGATCAGTATCTGAGGGATGCTGTGAGAGACACAGAAACGGAATTTTTAAAAATGTTTAAATTTTATGAAATATAACAAAAAGCAGCAACAGCAGTAAAGCGTTTTTGCAGCTGTTATATTTTTCTTTTTTGTTATTCTAGATCTGCGCTTTTTATCTCCACATTTTCTCAAGTTGATGAAGATTGTAACGTGTTGTCTGTTTGATCTGATCAAAACATTTGCGCAGTAAATGCAGTTATTTCTCTGCTGTCATTAACTTCTTTACGAAATACCACAGCCGTTGGTGAAGTGTATTTTATATTTATAACCTCAACTATACGCACGAAAATATTCGGCACGAAATTACAAGTGACGGTGAACCGCAGCGGTTGATGTGCGCTTAAATGTCTTGTCAAAAATGTCATATAAAACCATGTGTTTTTTTTTAACCCCGGGGACACAAATGTGTGTGCCGTCTTCTACAGGTTCTCTCTGCGTACAGAGACGAAACGGGCCTTTTTGCTTTTAACGACACATTTTCCGATTATTTTGCACAGACGCACGGAAACCAAACCTCCGGAGTCTCCGGAATGAACAGAAAAAGAAAAAAAATGGTATTTTTAACCCACTTTACTATGCTTATAAAAAAAGATGTGACTTGTGTGACTGCCAGCGCCGTGCGTAATGGCATTCAGGTTTTATCTTTAAAACTTCAAAAATAAAAATAAAACATTTTTATCCTGTGATATAGACGATCAGCCGGGCCTGTGGAGTTAAACTGTGTACAGAATAGTTTCAGAATAGCCAGCAGAAATGACGGAGAAAGTCATCATAATAGGACGGACCGGAGTGATTGCGTGCAGTTTACTGATGTCCGTGCGTAATCCTCTTATACTATTTCCAAAAGAGGAGGAGACGGTCATTTTTATTTATACCACCGAGATCTGCATGGACACATAATGATTCTGAAAAACAAAAAACCCAGAACAAAATAACCACAAAGACCAGATTATAAATGGAACTGGGGCAAATATAATTAAAAACTGAAAAGAAAGGTTCATGTCAATGGATTTACAATCATTAGGATATAAAACAGTTCACTTTAAATATTGACCATATATATATATATATATATAAGTAGTAAAAGTTTGAGGGTAGAAACTGTAAACAGTATATTAATGTTTAACTGGTTGAGCTTCCTGCGTTTATTTGCATGCTGTGGCAATGAACCCTGCTGGTGTTTGTGCATTCTCTCTCTTTCTGTCTCTACCCCCCCACCCCCCCCCCCCCCCCCCCCCCCCCCTCCCCCAGCAAAACACCGTGTTTTTTGTGAGGCAATGAACCCTGCTGGTGTTTGTGCATTCTCTCTCTTTCTGTCTCTACCCCCCCACCCCCACCCCCCTCTCACGCACAATCTCAGTGAGAAAAACAGTGTTTTTTGTGTGACATGAGCTAGTGTGTTTCCCTCACCCTACATCCTAGAGTGACCCCACAACACCAGCATCACATGCTGCTAATGTAACCAGGTTTGTGTAAACAGCCAGAAAACCATCATTCGGACTCATGTAAGTCATGGTCAAAGAGTCAAGTTCAGCTGAGAGATGGAGAGAAAAACAAAAAACACCTGAGTTAATACTCACTTTTTGTTTTTCAGGAACCGGTGTCAGTGTTTATTTAGACGTTCACCGTGTGTGGCTCTGTCCTGGTGTTTGTGTATTCATTTACCTCTGTCTTTTGGGCCTTGGTTTATGCAGCTACGATATGATACCTTTTGCAATAACACTTTGCTTTGGATGAGGGCTGGCCTCTAACCTTTAATTATAAAAGGCTAAGATTTAACAAAAGCCCCCAAATTGCTCTGTTTTTTGTGTAGCCTGTAAACAAAAGTGATGAAATAAAAGAGTCGAGAAACTAGAGTGGAATTTCTCAGAAACCTCTATTTACACTCGCTGCATTGCATGTAATTATAGCGCAGCTAAATTTATAAATAGACAGATAAACCAGTTAGTTTATAGATAGATACATATTTATGGATTGTTGATGTGGCAGCATCTGGGGTGTTACTGGTCAACGTACATTAATACAGTTACATACAATACAATACAATACAATCATCAGACCTGGAGACCTGGAGACTCCTTCTAGGACAGTGGTTCTTAACCTTGTTGGAGGTACTGAACCCCACCAGTTTCATATGCGTATTCACCGAACCCTTCGATGATGGCCAAGCAGGAGTTACGAATCATATGAGTCGGGTGTGTGTCTTGTCCTGCGCCGAACCCCTGAGGCTAAGAACCACTGTTCTAGGAGTTGAATTTAAGGAAGGTTCTGAAGTCAGTGTTACCACCTTTGACCACTAGACATTTATATGTGTGACGTGAACTACTATCTGAGTGTAAAACACTGAAGAACAGAAAAGTAAAAGAGTCCCCAAAGTTTATTTGAGGGTACATTATGGACATGGTTAGTTAAGCTCATGAAGCTAAGTTGCTGAATAAAGTCTGTCACTTCGCAAACTTCTTGTCAGAATCACACTTCTAGAGGCAAAACACATGTTGAGCCCTCGGTTTTGAATCTAAATCAAGATCAAAGAGGAAAGTGTGAGTGAAATCCTTGTCGAAATTGTTAGCTAAGTTTTAGCTATGCTAGCTAGCTTGTGTCAGTAAATCAAGAAAAAAGTTACTAAAGAATCTTGACAATGTCAAGTCCTTAATGTGGAGTATGTCTGATGAAGGAAAGGCCTTAGTTAGATTTCTTAGAAGAAATCTGAGTTTGTTTCTTGGTGTCTGAGTCAAGAAAGAAAGGTCAGAGTCATGCTGCTATTGTTAGCATCTACGTCCGGCTCATCTAAAGCCAGAAATAGTTAGTTTAATTACAGAACAGACATATTCTGAGGGAATATGTCATCTTGACGTCATGATAAGTCTGTGTTTTGCTCTCTTGTTTGCAAGGATACACACAAGAGAAGAAAATTGAGACTTTAATCCTGTATGATGCATTTTCATTACTGCCTTGATTTCACCAAAACTTTGCTAAAAGGTTGTTTTTTTGCACTTAATAACTCCTTACATGCAGACAGTCTTTTGGTAAGGATGAGTAACAATGTCTGAGGACCATCATTACACTGGAAAAAAAAAGAATAAAAAGGGAATAGTAGAGAAACAGAGGGAATAATGATAGTCCAGGTGCTTTCGGGGGGTCTGGAGGTAAAGACAGATGGATGTAAAGGTTTCTCTCACTGTCTTCTTTCCATCCACCTCTTCTTGCTCTTCTTTTCTCTGCCTGTCTCTTTTTCCATTCTCTTTATTTCTCCCTCCATCAAGATGCCATTATTCAGGACATTAGTGAAGATGAGCTAAAAGCTCTCAGTGATGGGGAGGGTCCCAGGGTCTTCTCTGAGAGCTGTTTCACACACACACACACACACACACACACACACACTACAATGCGGTAGCGAGGTCTTGGTACTGCAGACATCATCATGTAGCTCTGCTCATCACTCTTCTGTGAGACCAAAAACACAGACATTAGCTGACAGAAAGAAAGAAAATGAACAATGATTAATGAAAGAAGACTCACAGTGCAGCACTGATCATACTTCATGTTTCAGAATCATTACTTGTACACTTTGTCTGTTTTCTAGTCCACTACTATGATTCCTTGAACATCTTTAATATTTCAATTAAAGGACCTGAAGGATTTTATGTTACATAAGCAATAAATATATACGATAAAGACAATATACTGTATGAGCCGTTTTTTGGATATCTTCAACATACTTGTGAATCTACAACTTCCACTTGGACTCCATTACTTTGACTAGCAGCATTTTCTTTCACTTGATTGTCCCTCTTTGCTCCCCTTTAATTTACCTCAACATTCCTACATTCTTCTATTTTTGGACTTTGTCCTCAGATGTGTTCATCCTACCCTTTCCATGTCTGCTCACTTTACTTCTTTTTCATCCACTCTTCTTTTCCTACATCTTTCCCTTCTCCTCCTCATTCTCTTTCTCTGTACTCTTCCCAAACTTGTCTTTATGCCCCTCTGTTTTCATCTTTCTTCTATCATTGCCTCAAACACCAAACATCCCTATGACTCCTTTACTTTCCTCCTTCAGTACCTCCCAACATCTCAACATTCTCTCTCCTTCTTTATTACCAAACTTCCTTTTTCATCACTCCTGACGTTCCTACCAGTGAGTAGTTTTCTGAAAGTACGTTCACCCCCAGTTGTTGTCACTGAGTCAGACTTAAATGGACTTTTACAGCAGTTCTGAGGCCTTTCCAAGTTAATTCCTGCTATTAACTGTAACTTTTCATAATTATTCCATTTCCTGAGCTCAGGGACTTGGAGGATTTTCGTAATTCATCGTCCTTTGGTCCGTCCTGCATCTTTATTTTGTTCCCCTGTACAATTATTTTGGTACAAAACCATCAGAAAATTATTCATCTGTTCCCCCTTTTTTATGAATTTACGTTCCCTTCTTTCATTCCTCTAATTATAATAATTTACGTTCCCTTCTTTCATTCCTCTAATTCATGTGTGTTTTTCTTTCTTTTAATCAGCCCTGCGGATCCCTCCACTGCTCATGTATTTATTCATGTTGCTCTGCCTCTGATGGACGACGTGGACAAGGCTGAATAGTGTGCGTGTCAGCGTGTGTCCCTGTGTCTGTGCGTGTGCATTTGCTTGTGTGTGTGTGTGTGTGTGTTTGTAACTCCACAATAT